CATTCCATTCAACTTGCTGGCCAGGGAGGTTGTCACCTCAGGGATGGTGTCAGGATTACTGGAGTGGAGGACCAGCTTCCCCTTGGTGTGTAGGGAGGCCCAAACGCCTTGGGGGAGAGTGTGGGCAGCGCGGACAGCTTTTAGCATCTCCCTTGGGTCAGCCTGTGGGTCATCAGAGATGACCACTGTGTGGGCCGCCGATTTTTCTCCATGGAGGATCACTTGGGCGGCCGCAGGCTTGGATAGGCGGGAAGGCGCAGGTTTTGAAGGACCATTCAGGTTTGTCCTCTTTGCAGGCGGGTTGGGAGCCTCAGACTGCTTCCTTTTGGTTGGAGCAGGAGCAGGCAAGGTGGAGGCAGGCTTCTTGGCAGGGAGAGCAGCAGGAGCAGGAGTGGCGGGCTTGATTGGGTCAGTCTGGGAGCTGGTTTCCTTGCAGGAAGGAGCAGGGCAGGTTTGAGTGCCGCGGCAAGCAGTCTTGGGCTTGTTGGCCTCCTCAATTTCGTCCAACTCTGCGAAGGACTCGAGGGTGTCAGTGAGGTTCTCTACATTGGTAGCGAGGGCTTTGATCATTTCAGTCCGCGAGGCGATGTAGCGGATCAGGTCCTCATGCAGGGATTTCAGGGCAGGATGGCCAATGGAGCTCAGGATGCTGCAGTTGCGTGAGATCACCATCTCATCTTCCCTCTCCAGGTCGGCGACGTTCACGATGGGCTTGTAGGCCTTCTTTTTCTTCTTGGCAGGATTCATGTGACCAACGGGGAACCAGTAGTTGTTGAGAATCCGGGCTAATTGGCCACAAAAATGGGTCTTCTAGCCCTACTATGGCTGCAGGTCGCGAACTGGTGGGAAGGGATCCAAGGGTCTGGCAGTGGAGGTGTCATCGCAGGGGGGAGAAGCTGGAGAGGTCAGGGAAACAGCGCCTTGATGGGTGAGAAGCCAGGATGGAGGACTGTTGAGGAGGCAGGAGGTCCTGGAAGCCTAGAATTTGAGGGCTCTAAGCTTCAAGGTGGGGCAGCTGGAGGCTCTCGCCTCGTGCTTGTATGGGAGGCCCTTGGCACAGCAGTTGGTGCACTTGGAAGTGTGCCGGTCAGCAGCAGAGGGGCAGGAACGGCCTTCATGGCTACCTTCACCGCAGTGGAAGCACCTGGGATCTCTGGTGCATTGGGCAGAGTTGTGGCCGAAGCCACAACAGCGGAAGCAGATGCGTGCGCGGATGGACTCCTCGAAGTTGAGGATCACTCCATCTACCACGATCCTTCCGCGGTTGCCCAGAGCTCTGAAGGTGTTGAGGTCCACCTCGATGAAGGCGGTGCAGGTCCCGTTTCTGGGTGCAGAACGGTGCGCAACGCGCACCACCTTGTCCCCAGGTAGTTGGCTGACAGCGGGAGTCCCCAACAGCGTCTCTTCAATGGTGGAGTTGGACGTTTCCACCTCCACTTTGAAGAGGCAGATGCGAGGCAGGAGCACCTTCTGCTGGCGGACCTTCATTCCCGTTAGCTGGCTGGCCAGGGAGGTTGTCACCTCAGGGATGATGTCGGGATTGCTGGAGTGGAGGACCAGCTTTCCCTTGGTTCTCAGAGAGGCCCAGACGCCTTGGGGTAGAGTGTGGGCAGCGCGGACAGCCTTGTAGATCTCCCGTGGGTCGGCCTGTGGGTCATCAGAGACGACCACTGTGTGGGCCGCCGATTTCTCACCGTGGAGAACCACTTGGGCGGCCGCAGGCTTGACCACTTGGGCGGCCGCAGGCTTGGAGACACGGGAAGGCGCAGGTTTTGTTGGACCTTTGAAGTTGGATCTTTTGGCAGGGGGGTTGGGATCCTCAGGCTGCTTCCTCTTGGTTGCACCAGGAGCAGGCAGGGTGGAGGCGGACTTCTTGGCAGGGGGGTCAGCAGGAGGAGGAGTGGCGGGCTCGGTGGGGTCAGTCTGGGAGCTGGTTTCCTTGCACGAGGAGCAGGGCAGGTTTGGGTGCCGTGGCAGGCAGTTTTGGGCTTGTTGGCCTCCACATAATCGTCCAGCTCCGCGAAGGACTCGAGGGTGAATGTGAGGTCCTCAACCTTGGTTTCAAGAGCCTTGATAAGTTCAGTCCGCGAGGCGATGAAGCGGATCAGGTCCTCATGCAGGGCTTTCAGGGTAGGATGACGAAAGGGGCTCAGGATGCTGCAGCTGCTTGCGATAACCAACTCGTTCTCCCTCTCCAGGTCGGCGACGTTCACCGTTCATATAACATTTCAAATAATATCTTTATATAGCATTTTAAATAATACTTTTATATAACATATATATATATTCATTTATATAGGAACTAGCGGACGTACCCGGCTTCGCCTGGGTTTTACCCGAGTAAAGGTTTGTCTAACGAATCTCTCGATAAAGTGAACATTTTTTCCCGGTCCCTTGAAAAGTACTCGATAAGTTGAATAAAATCAATATTAATTGGTTCCCTCGGTAATTGGAAGTTAAAGGAATAGTATCTTGCCTTGGAATTGTATCATTATTCTTGTCTCAAATAAATTGCCGTGTCATCCTGAATTTTGTCTTTCCTAATTTTCTACATTAAAAAATCATCGTATGATCATGATAATATTTAGAGCAGATTGTTGAATTATAACAGATAAATTAGAATATTTATCTTGATTATTTTAAAGCGAAAAGTTATTTCAAAAATTTTATTTGCTAGAAACCTTCCCAGTACTATACTGAATAACTTCCCAAAGTTTCATGGCGTTCCAATGAGTGGTTTGGTCAGGCATAAAGGACACACACACACATACATTCATTTTTATATATATAGATAACTAGCGGATGTACCCGGCTTCGCCCGTGTTTTACCCGAGTAAAGGTTTGTCTAACGAATCTCTCGATAAAGTGAACATTTTTTCCCGGTCCCTTGAAAAATACTCGATAAGTTGAATAAAATCAATATTAATCGGTACCCGAGTAAAGGTCTGTCTAACGAACATCTGTTAAAACAATTCACTATAAACTTATAAAAAGAAATAGATATATTTTGATAATTTGAAACAGATAAAGTGATCATTTTTTCCCGGTCCCTGTGTGCCGTGTCATTCTGAATTTTGTCTTTCCTAATTTTCTACATTACAAAATCATCGTTTTATCTAGTGAACAATTTTTCCCGGTACCTTGAAAAATACTCGATAAGGTTGAATAAATTCATGGTCGTTTATGGAAGATGGACGAAGTTCCCGGAGGTCATCTTGGGCAAGCTCCCGCGAGGCTTTTTTTCTTGTCTACTTGGCACAGCTGTGTCACCAACTCTGCCCTGATTGGTCGGTGGGTACTTGGACTGTCGGCCCGAGGCCGGGCGAATCCATTCTCTCACGGGGTGGGGCAGACCTAAGCCTATCTCCGTCGCAAGGTGGCGCTGCTTGCGAGTCAAAGCTACAAATCTGCAAATAACTCTAAGGATATTCAAGATATTCAAGAAATTATTTTTCGTAAACCTTTCCGGGGATACGCCTAATAATATCCCAAAATTTCACGGCGATTGGATGTATGGTTTTTGAATCCATAGAGGACACACACACACACACACAGACAGACAGACATTCAATTATATATATATAATAATTATTATTATTATTATCATTAGATAATGATAATGATCATAATGATGATGCGCGCGTTGATGACCAAAATCTATCCGTGAACTTCAGACAGTGAACTTCACACAGACAGAATAAGGCAATTATATAAGTAGAAAGGCAATTATATAAGTAGATAATAATAATAATTATTATTATTATTATCATTAGATAATGATAATGATCATGCGCGCGTTGATGACCAAAATCTATCCGTGAACTTCAGACAGTGAACTTCACACAGACAGAATAAGGCAATTATATAAGTAGAAGATAATTAATGCAACATTTTAAAAGAGACATGTTTTCACATATCTATAATTAAAATTATAAACTATTTTTATATAACGCGCCTATTTCTTTTTAAATTAAACAAATAAAATAAGTTTCAACTCCTCTTAATGCAATGATAAAATAATATGAGGGCCTGGCTCATCGGTGATCAACCCTCCAGTTTAATCTACCACTTAAATTTAAACCGGTGAAACCGCTGGGATGGTTCACTACTGATGAACTAGTCCCTCCCATTTTTATATCATTGGGGATCAATTAATAGTCCCTTCTAATGGACATCAATAAAGCACCCTGAAAATAGTATATTAGGATTAAAATATGTAACAATTTATTTTTCGGCAATGTGTTTCTTTTTTTCTCTAAAGAGACCCCTTACTGCAATGCTAAAAGTTATTGAGAGGTCTGTAGATATCAAAAAAAGAAACACATTACCAAATATTAATTGTTACAGATTATATATATATATATAGTTAAACCTGTCTATAGCGCCCCCTCTTGGGACTCATCAAAATAGGGTGCTATAGAGAGGGAGTGCTATAGACAGGTCACTTTTATTGTAAAATGTTTACATTTTAATGTTTAAAATCGGGCGCTATTTAGAGGGGGCGCTAAAAACAGGTTTAACTGTATATATATATATATGGCAATTAAATTTATAAATATTAGAAGTAGTTAGATTCAATATCACCTCTATGTCACACCTTTCCTGAGCCAGGACTTTTCTTTCTCTCGTCTACACCTTGCAGGCTCTTGCTCCGTATTCTTCTGTTTGTGTCCTTATCACACCCTCCCTCGACTGTATCTCAAAACACTATATATATTAGGATGAAATTTGAACTGTAAAATGTTATAAAAGTGTAGCAGCTAGAAAAAAATGTTACCATTGTTATAATATAATTATGGTGTATAGATTCATTTTTCTTTAATTAAAAAAAAAACTAAATTACTCTGTGAAATGTATATTTAAAATGAGTAAATGTTTTGAATAGGAATAATAATATATACAGTTATCAGAGTCATCAAGCAACAATTCTTAATAATCAATTCTGTCACCGTTTGCTTTTGTGAATGGAATAAATACCCAAATATGGCCATTTCTCATAACCATCGGTGGTTCAGTGGTAGAATGCTCGCCTGCCACGCGGGCGGCGTGGGTTCGATTCCCGGCCGATGCATTTTTTTTTTACAATTTTTAAAACTCATTTATATATTATACAAGAATGACATCCACGGCGCCAATTTATAATTGTAACGAATAGTATTTGAATAAAAGCATTTAATCGGGTAAAACCCGGGCGTTGCCCGGGTCATTCGGCTAGTACTATATATGTCTAGCTTGCTATAGTTTTGCATGCCTGAAAAAGAATAAGATAATTTGCATGTATATAAATTAATAAATAAACATTTTTTCTAACCAACTGTGAATGAATTTCTGATTCTGAATACCTGATAACACTTACAAAAGTTATTTGATTGTTCTTTAAATTTTATTGACAAATTGTTAAATGAATTGGGTTGTTGTTGTTGTCGTGCCTCTTCATTGGAAAATGGATGCCGTTGCCACGTTAGTTACTTTGGAAACAGAGTTTGGTCGAATGTTCCAAGGGACAAGAGAGGACCGCATGGAGGTGTGGTCGGACTTGGGTTGTTGTATTAGGAATATATAAAGAATCTAAGGCAAATCATGAAAAGGTATAAATTTAAAGAAGGACATATATATAAATGATGAATGTATGTGTGTTCTTTATGCCTGACCAAACCACTCATCTGATCGCCATAAAACTTTGTGAAATTCTTTACTATACTGCCGTGAATGTTTCTTGTTTGAATTTGATTTGAAATTAATATTCGTTGCAATTATATTTGCAAATTTGCCTATTTCACTCTCAAACATCGCCTTTCGCGGTATCTGATGGAATTACATTTTTAAAATTGAAAAATTGCTAAATTTGTTCTGAATATAATAAATTTAGTATTTAATATTTAATAACAATTTTTTAAATTTAATAATACAATTTTCGAATGTCGTGGTAGAACTTGACATTATTATTATCACTTTTTAAGACATCTTATAGTTCACACGAATACATTCGCTAGTACAATATAAAATAGCCCTTTTTTAAAATTCGATTTTTTAGAGATAGAGACATAAAACACAATTTTAAGAAGAATGAAAGTTAGGTATGATGAAGCAAAATACATGTAGTGCTATATTGAATTTTAATACTTTTTAAAATATCTTTATTACACCTAAAATTCAAATAATAGATCGCTTTGATCAGTTGCCTCTAGTTTAGAATTTCTTTTATAACGATATCTGAAATCAATTCGGTGAGACTATTCAAGAAGTTTTTGGTGTTGAAAATGAATTAGAATCACATTTATGAAAATATATTTTTGTTATAAAAGGAATTCCTTTAAATATTATTTTATAAAATTACACATCGAATTATTTATTAGACATTTGAATAATTGGCACTAGTCAACACTGTATTTTATTTTAAGAGAGTAAAAGAAGGAGCAAAAAGGTTGCTTCAATATTTTAAAAATTTTCAAATTCTTGAGCATAGCGGTCTGATTTTCCAAAACTGGCTTGATATTTCGGGTAGGTTTCAAAATACTTTGTATCATCAGGTCCACTTACGCTAACAGGAAAAGGAGGTGCAATTTTTTTCTCAAATAGCGCATCAAAATTAAGATCTTCAAACCATTTATGAAGTTTGATATCCAAAGAACCTTCTTTGAGATTCCCTAAACGTTTGGTAGTATCTGGTTGAATCAGATTCAATATGAGATCTCTTAAACTTCTTGAGAAGCTCTGAGGGATTATGATATTATGCTCTAGAATATTTTCCAATACAGTGAACTGGTCTATTGCTTGAAACGGTGTTGAACCATCTAACATCTCAAAAATAAGAATTCCAAGCGTCCACCAATCCACAGATTGATTATAACCGTTATTTTGAATGACTTCTGGAGCAAGATATTCAGGTGTTCCACATAAGGTCCAACATCGCGTTGCAATTTTGGCAAAACCGAAATCTGCAAGCTTACAATTTCCTTGCTTATCAATCAATATATTTTCGGGTTTAAGATCTCTATGAATTACTCCTAAGTAGTGCAGATATTCCAATGCAAGAATGACTTGAGCGGCGTAGAATTTTGCTTGGACTTCAGTTAAAATTCTTCGTCTTCTCAGCAAGGAAAACAAATCACCTCCTTGAGCAAATTCCATTAGAATATAAAGACGACGATTATCCTTAAATGTGTTAAATAAAGATACGCAGAATGGAGAATTGATGGATGAATGAATATTTTTCTCATTAATGATATGATTCACTTGCCCTGTTGACTTAATATATGATTTGTCCATCACTTTCAGAGTAGAGTAGACTTTTGTTTCTAATTGCTGGACCAATACGATAACTCCAAAACCTCCTTTTCCAATTGTCTCGAGTATGTCGAAATTCTTCAAATTAAAAGTTTCAGATTTCTTTGGATTTTCGTATTTTCTTTCAAATTTTATCTTCTCTTCTTTAAGAAATTTATTAATCTTTTCTTGGTGTTCACTTTGGGTTCGTGGAGAAAGGAGATATTTTTGGGTCATCAAGTTTTCTCACATGGTAAAAATGAACTGATTTATGTTGAAGTATATATATAAAAATTTATCTGCTTAATTTTTCATGTAAGAATTTTATATTTCTTGAAAACATTTTATCTAAAAGTTTCCATGACTACTTTTTCCCGTGATTAATTTATTTAAACATAGGATAATTATTTTAATGAAGAATATATATATATATTATATATATTATATATATTATATGTGTTTCAAATATGGGAAGTTTTATATTGTCCATTTGTGAACAAAAAAAAAACCCGCGAATCTTAGTATTACTTGAAGTTCCATAAGAACTAAGATTAATTTCTCTGTATTTTTTTTTTTTTGTATTCTAGTATTTACTTTTGAGCAAGTATATCATGATCCAATTTGTACTACTCCTTATGTGATGGAATATTAACTAACGATAACTAATCAAGATCTATGTTTATTTTTTTTTAATTTTTTGTTTTTACTAAACAAGATTCGCAGAGATTTTCTATTCTTTATTCAGCATATTATAGAGCTAGAGTATTAAACCACATTCGTAAATATGCGATGAAACATTTCAATAATAATTTAACTTAAAAACAATTTCCTCTCTGAGAGTAGCATTTTTGGAAGAGGTATCTGGAATGTGGTCTACTACGACACTCAAAGCTATGTCACAATTCCAATAGAAATGGAGGCGCCTTCCATTCCAAGGATTGATGTCTACTATCCTAGCTGAAGCACGTCGTCGACAAGATGTCAATTGAAAATTATAACAATTAATTGTGTTATAATTTTATATATAATTAAAAACTATTTCTACAGACATTTCTCTCTCTCTGTATTTAACCGTTTATAATCTTATATGAACGTTGTAATAAATAGTTTCAATCTCAATCTCTCTCTTTAATATACTGCAATGCTTCAAAAATAGAAAAAGAGGCAGTTTCGTGGTTCACTAGTGTTGGGAGCAGAGCCCCAACTTATGATACCCATAAAACAATGATGACGTTTAATAGACATGTGGTGTGTGAATCAACGGGGAAGCCACTGCTGATGGTTCTGGAGGGAAAGATGTATAAGAAAAGACTACAAAGACAGACCCTTTGTAAACCTTAGTGTGGGCATACCTATTTAAAATATACAAGTATTTTGTAAATGTGTCATTTGAATTAAACTTTTAAAGATAAATGATTGTAAATTAAAACAGGTTGTTAAACTATTACTGAAAAGTCAATTATAGGTGTGTGTGTTTTTATTTATTATATAGAGCCTGCGATTATTTAAATAAAATTTTGGCTAAATTCATTATATTCTCTCTCTATATATAAATAAATCAATATTAAATTCTAAACTTTTGTTTTAGATATTATTGGAATATATATTAATTTATTATTCTTTAGAAAGAGAAGGATTCAAAATTTGTGTATGAAATTAATCTACCCATATCATGATAGATGTTTTAAAAATCATTGATACATTTATATAAAATATATTCGCATAATTCATTTATTCGTATTATAATAATAATCGAAAACTATTAGTATTATTTCAAAATAGTTAGCATACTGAGCTTCACCACGTCTGTGGGGATTGGACTCCTCTCAGAGCGCTAACCAAAGAGCCATAGTTTAATATGGCCGTCTGGTTTCGAGTGTAAATGTTAAAACACCCGGGCATGTGATATTTGTATACAATATTTGTGACACGAATTTATGTGAACCAAGTGAACAATTTTTGAGTGCTAATGTGAATTTTGACAATTTAAAGGAGTATGCTTATAAATCAATAAAAAGGTAAGGCCATCTATGAATAATATTTTAACCAGAATAAACAGGTGTTGTAAACAAAACATTTTAAAATGCTATTTGTATATATCTAACGTCTGTTTAAACATGTGCATTAATAAATTGTAAGAAATATCTATAATATGAATTTTAAAAATAATATTAAAGTAAGTTATGCAAAATATTAAGACTAAATTTCTCAGTAGTCAACTATGAATAAACATGAGTATAACATTTATATTATACTTTGATATTTACCGGTCATATCAGATTTTTAAACATTTAATGTCAAATTTTATAAGTGTAAAAAAAAAAGCGGCATTTTGTTTTCAAATTAATATTTTTAAAAAGGTAATTATACTATAATATAAAAACCTAAAAAGCAATAAACGTATAAATAAATATACCGGGTTTATTTTAATCGGCCGATAAAGAATATATACATCAATTGTATCTACAATAATGATACATCTTGTTGACGAATTTTAGTATTTGTATATAATAAATTAATGATAGCAAGGTATATAATAATAAATGAAAGTATTATTTATGTTAAATAATGCATAATTTTTTCCCTTTTTATACATTTTAAAGTATTATTTCATTATTATAGTTAAAAAAAAAGGGTAAACATATTCTAAGGCAAAAATTAGCTCTTTCAATTAAATTATCAAGCAATTAAACATTATTTTAAATGTTTTCAATGACAGAATTATAGTACTGCCTTTTTTTTCTCTCTAATTCCAAATGATTAATTTTATTTAAACATATATCTGTATGGTATTTAATAACCAAA